TCTGAGCAACCAAAGATATCACTTCCAGTTAAATAGAAGGTTTTCTGAAGCCATAACCTTTTAAGTTAAATAGATGGTTTTGTGGTTAATTGGACAGTTTAAAGTAGGTATTTTCAAAGCAGCCATATCAGAATCTGTATCTGTCTTTAGTCACAAAAATGCAATTTACTTCCAAAACTCCCCTGAAAAAATGTCTTTATCTACCTGGGCATGGAGGCACATGCCTAGAATCCCAGCTCTTGGGAGGCTGAAGCAGGAGGATCCTGGGAGTTCAAGACTAGCCTGGGCTTCAAAGTGAGTGCAAGGCCAGCCTGAACTGCATCATGAGACTCTGTCTCAAAAAGAGAGAAAAAAATTCTTATCTCTACCAATAACTTTCCCACCTGAATAAGGTAGCAAGTCAAAACTTGATTTGTTTGAATTTGCTATGGAAGACTTAACAAGGGAACATTAAAAATTCCTCAAGACTCATTACTTCACAGCAAATTGAAATCTGCACTCAAAAGTCAGGATTCGGGGGCCTGCCCCTTAGCCCAGTTCTTTAAGTGGCTGCTTCAACAAAGCAGTCAGGCTCAGGTTGCTGTGGTTCGATCCCCACAACTCAAGCCAGCCAAACCTGCCCTGAAGGCATTTGGAGAAAAAAAATCCTTAAAAGTCAGGATTCATGTTTGTCTTGACTTGGCTCTCGGAAACCTACTGAGTGGCTGGCAGTGTTCACAATTTAGGACCTAAACTCAGCCTCCCCAGTGCTGGCATTACAGGCATGTGCCACCCAGTTTCAGTGGCCAGCACAGAGTGCCCAGGGTTTCAGGGCTGGCATGGCATGTGGTACGAGCGATTGAACCTTGGTTTTTGTGCTTGCCAAGCAGGCACTTAGATCCCCAGCCCTTTTGATGTGTTAAAATAGGAAAAATACTAAGAAACAGTAGAAATGTTCAACATTTTGGGATGGGCCATCTAAATTAACTGTTTCATGAACCACTATGCAGCCACTGAAAATCATGTTGATAGGGAGGTGAATGGTTTCAAAATGTGACCATAAAAGCAATATGTGTATTATGTTCCTGATGATATAAAACAAATACATAGTAAAGTAAAGAAGTGATCTTTACCAACACATTGATAATATTTGTTTCTCTGCTGAGGCTATATTTGTTTGCCTTTGGCCTTGTGGAATTTTTAAAACTTCTTTTACAATGAACATCTATTAGGTTACTGTCCATAAAAATGATATGATGCTTTAAAGGTGAGCTTATTGAATCAAACTTTTATAATTTTGTTGAGTTGCAGTAGAAAGTAGAAAATGTAAAATTGCAAATGCTACTCTTATAGAATTTAATTGTTAATAAAATTGTTTATTTTATATTCATTGCTTCTTTAAGAAAATTAATTGTAAAACAAAAATAAATTTGAAATAAGTGAAAAAGAAAAAAATTAGGACCTAGAATAAATGAGCAGACACACTTGTAATCTAAACTATTGATCTGCATGTTGTTTCTTGATCCCAACTTGTTCTTTACTTGTAGGTTCAATCTTCAGTATTCCAGTTACTGTTTTCAGCAGAAGCCAGGAAAACAACTTTGTAGTAGTCAGAATGTTATCCTAATGTATATTGTTTACTTTATTGTAAATAATGGTGAGTAGTGGTCAATAAATAGTTTTATATTCCTTAAAAAAAGAAAGAAAATTGAAAGATATTCCCAGCTCCTAAATTTTTGTACAAATCCAATGCAATCTGTATCAAAATACCTCCCACATACTTCACCCACCTAGATAAATCATTCCTAAAATTTGTTTGGAACCAAAAATGACCTAGAATTCCAAAAGTATTCCTGGGCAACAAAGACAAGGCAGGAGACATTATAATTCTTGACTTAAAAATATACTGCAAAGCTACTGTGATAAAATCAGCATGATTTTTTTTGTTGCTATTTATTTATTTCTTTAAAGTTCATTGATCCTCACAAAAATCCAGGAAATTCAACTAAAGAAAAACAAATGTCCAACCAAAACAGGAACCCAGGGCGATGGAAACATGGCACTGGAGCACTGGGTATGCACAGGGGCAGGAGGGGTGATCCCCATGGGGCATGGCTGCTAACTGCAGCAGACATGGGAAGGAATAGGCTTGAGGCTGAGCGGTTATGTTAACCGCTGCACAATGACAGCATTGAGTAGGTTGGCTTCCTTCAGTGTTTGGCTCTCATCAGCTAGTTCTTTGTTCGGAAAGGTAGTCATGAGGACAAAGCTGGTGGCAGCCATGGCTGGCCGGGCATCCACGATGAAGAGTCGGATGTCGCTGATCCTGTGGTTGTGGTTGAATTTCTGTACCAGCCTCCCGCCATCGGCAAGTCGTATTTGGATGTTGGTAGTAGGTTCTGACTCATTGATTAAAACAGAAGAGCTGGCTTTGGCTTCATTTTCTGCTTGCTGGGCTGGAGAGCTGGTACTCAATATCTGGGGGGCCGTGCTGCCAAGTTTCTGGCCTTCACCAGTGAAGGCTTTGAAAGATCCTTTGGGCTTAACAAAGTCCTCATCCCGATGGTCTTCCATATCCAAGTTCACTTGCCCACCGTGAGCTAAACTCCTCAGCTCTGCCAGCACTTCCCCTCTGCGGATAGACTCTAGAAATTGGGTATTGGATGGGTCTTGGTAGCTTCTGAGCTCGCCATTGTCTAGGCTGAATCCACTTTTCCAAAGCTTCAGAACAACATGAACATCTTGGCTGGAATGCTGCCTTCTTTCTCCTGCCATATAAGCAGACTCTTCCTCTGGTGCTGCCCCAAGACGGTAGCCACCTCCTGCAAAGGGTCTTGGTTTACTGGTCTCTCCAGGACTCTTGGTCACTCTCTCCACAGCTACGGCTCCGTGCTCTTTAGCACCTTTAAAGAGATCATCCACCAGCTCGTTGGGACTTTTCTTCCTGGGAGGACCAACAATCTGTTGTCCACTTCTCTCTGAGCCCCCGGCATAAAACCTTTGGCCCTCTTCCTCCTCGTCATCCTCATATCAGCATGATTTTTGAAAAAAAATGAAATAGACCTGAGGATCAACGGAATAGATTAGAAGGTGCAGAAGCAACTGCAAAAGCACTCTGCAACCTTATCTTTGACTAAGTGATCAAACATACTTGCTGGAACAAAAATTGCCTCTTTAACAAATGGTGCTGGAAAAACTGGCTCTCTACATGCTGAAAACTAAAACTTGATGCAGGTCTATCACCATGCACTAAAGTAAAAATGGATTAACAATCTAAACATTAAAATAGAAACACTAGGGGCCAGGGAAGTGCCTCAGTGTAATAAGTGCTTCCCTGGCAAGCACAAGGGCCTGAGTTCAACCCCTGGTTCTGCCAAAAAATAATAAATAAATAGATAGACAAATAAATAAATAAATAAAACAGAAACACTAAATCTTGTGGAAGAGAAAATAAGAAGAACTCTTGAAGACACAGGGGTAGGCAAAGAGTTCGTGAATAAAAATGACACTGCACAGGAAATACTTGAAAGAATTAACAACTGGGAACTCCTATTATTGAGAAGGTTTTGCTCACCAAAAGAAATTAGCAACAGAGTGAGAAGACAGGCCAGAAGTTTGGAAAAAATCTTAACTAATAAGCATTCAAACATAGGTCTTCTCTGTAGAATTTATAAAGAAGTAAAAAACATTAGGGCCCCAAAATGTAAAGACCCAATCCCGAAATAGGTATCTGAAATGAACATACTTCTCAGAGGAAGAAATTCTAGAAGCTAAACATACTTGAAAATACATGAAAAAGTGCTCCATATCACTAGCTATCTGTGAAATGCAAATTTAAACAACACTGGTATACCATCGCACCCCTGAAAGAATGGCTATCATTAGGAAATTAACCAACAACAAATGTTGGAAAGGCTGTGGGGAAAGTGAAACCCTTCTGCACTGCTGGTGGAAATGTAGACTGGTGCAACCATTACAGAAATCAGTATGGAGACTCCTTTAAAAAACTAGGACTGGAAATTCCATTCAGTCCAGCTATCCCCCTTCTGGGAATTTTCCCAAAGGTACTGAAAGCATCATACTATAGTGATATATCTGCACCTGTGTTTATACTACTTTTTAAACAATTTTATTGAGAAACAAATAGAAATGAGACAGTTTTAAAATCGATTAGTAAGACAGCTTCAACAATCACTACATTGCATATTGTTGTCTTCCCAGTGGCCTTTCATAGTACAAGATTCAGACATGATAGCCTGTCCACAAACAATATCAGTACAAATCTATCTATTCATTCAATTAAGAGAAGATAGTTATATATCTATCCTATTTTGAATATACAGATACAAAATGGTTGTTCATTTGTACCCCCCTGTTTTATTTAGTTTTGTCAGAGATCGGTATTCCATTGTCATTTATGCACCTATGTTTATAGCAGCACAATCTGTGAAAGCTAAATCTTGGAAACAACAAAAATGTCCATCACCTAAGGAATGGATGAAAAAGTTATAGTGTTTTTACACAATGAGGTGTTACTCAGGTAAAAGGAAAAATAAACTCAAAGATTTCATATGTAAGTGCATGCAACCTCTGTGTAAAATGTGTAATTGTTTATTCTCATTCTGCAGGGATTTAAAGTTTACAATATCAACGATTGTTGGAAAATACTTGTTCCATGTTATTTCTAAGGCATTCGATATTCAGACAGATAGTGATGTTAAGCTCAATTGCGTCTGTCAGAGGGTAATACTATCAAGCTTCTCTTCTGGATGGTTGACAACTTAAATATGCAGACCAAAAATTAGAGAAAAAGAAGGGCTACAAGTGTATCCAATCTTTTTGCCCTAGCCCTTCAAGGTTAGTGAGGACTCAGGACATAAGAGAACCTGTATTCTGACATCCTGTAACTCAGTGGTTTCACAAATTTTCTGTTCAAGGAGACTATTGAGCCACATAGGAAAATGATCGATGATGTACAGTGTGCCTAAGGAGAGTCACCTAGAGAGAAAATATTTTCTCACGCTTTCACAGAGAGCAAACTGGTCAAGCAATTGTTATGACTCATCCAGATGGTTGAGATCTACAAGCTGCTCTACATAGTTTCAGGGTAAATCTTGAGTGGATATGATTGACTTTGTCAGATTCAAAAGTTACAGTTTTAGTTATATAGATCTTGCTTTAACTTGGTCTTAACCATCCAGCATAAAAGTATAACCATGAGGTATAAAAAGTAAAGCCATATTAATATGCTGAGCTATAAAAGGCTCAAGTCAACAACTTCTGACATTGCTAGTTCTACTGATAACCCACTTCTGTTATGGATTATTAGACTATATTGGGTTATTTTGTTGAATTCAAATACCTACAATATTTGAATACCAATGAATCACTCATTTCTGACAAAACAAAACAAAAAAGGAGGATATAAATGAAGGGCATTTTGTAGTGAAAAAATAAATATCTGTATATACAAAATAGGATAGATATTCTGCAAGTTTTTCTTAATTCAATGAGAAGAAAGATTTGTATAAATAATGTTTAGACAAGATATCATGTCTGCATTTTGTACTCTGAATAACTACTATGAAGACAACAATATGCAATGTATTAATATTGTAACTGTCCTATTAACCTGTTCTGAAACTGTCTGGTTGCTATTTCTTTCTCATTAAAATTTTAAAAAATCTTAAGAAAAGTTTAGATGAGTTTTATAAAGTATAATTATTGACGAGAATTAAGAACATCCATAAAGCTCTGGCAAGTTTAGGAATCTATTAATGGCTGCAAATAGATTTGTTACCCAACATACAGTGTGTCTCATACCAGTAACAAAATGCTTGTTTAACCAAAACCCACAGGTGTAGATAAAATGTAAATATCATGGCCAAGTTTAAAGTATTGTTAAATTACAATCATTTTGTATAATTAAGGTCTAGACATATATTATATAAAAGAGAGTGCCTATAAATTTCTTCATATAATTTAAAGTTATTCAGTCTTAATTCTATAAACTGAACTTCAAAGCTTAGACACACAGCATAGTTTGCTTTTAGATGTATACATACATATAGGCCCAAATATGTGATGTTATGAATGAAGATATTTGTTGTTTATTTAAAACATCATGAACTGATTACTGAAAATATTTTGTAAGTTAACATTCAAGACTGTTTTAATTCTCAAAGCTTATTTTAGTAACTGAAAGTCTAGCAATGTGAAGCCAAGAAACTTATTTCATTTATTCACAGCAAAATGACTTCATTGTCACTCTATGATTCTGAAGATATATGAAATATTTCTAAATCAAGCCTTCAGAAAAAAAACAGATTAGTAGTTCATAGGGACTATAGTTTGGACAGAGCAATGTTCGCTGTAGAATTTTTAAGGAGTGCTGAAATTATTCTAAACTCAGCTTTGATAACGGTTGCCCAACTATGCTAAAAATATCAAATTGTACAGTTTAGATAAATTTTGCACTGTATGAGATGTACTGCGATAAAAGCATTACAAGAAAAAAGCCAATAGGAGTGCAATTTTGAGCTTTGCTACCTGTGTTTCTCTTTGATTACTTATTATGTGTAGTGGCCTCCCTTGGTTTAATCCTCTTTCCCCAAGTTTCTGTTTTCCATTCCCTTTCCCTGAGGTATTTTATATGTTCTTGTAAATAAAATTCTTTTCCCCCTTGACTTGTTTTACGTTGAGTGAAGGAGATAGTGGATGACATTGACTATAATCTTCCCCTGGATATCTTTTCACTTTAACATGTGCCATATTCTGCCTGTCATTTATAGAAGTTAAAATCTGAACATGGACAATTTTTTAGTGGTAGTTGGTGTGACTAAGGCATTGTGAAATAACAGTTTTGGCATCTGATTGTTGCATGCATGCAGGCAATTTAAGTACATTAACATCGGGGAGAGCTTCCGGCTACCATGCACCAGCGGGACCTCCTGGTCCAAGCCCAGGTGCAGCGTGGGTGAGACCCTCTTCCACCCCCTTAGGATCCCCCACCTCTCCACAGTAAACTCCCACCCCACCTGCTGCGTGAGAATTTCTGCTGCGTTTAAGGGACTCCTAGATCCAGTCCTAGCCCAGGCCCAATGAGTGTGTAGGAGAGCTTCCAGTTATCTTGCACAGGTGGCACTTGCCTCTCCAAGCCCAGGTGCAGAGTGGATGAGACTCTCTTCTGCTCTCTTGGGACTCCACCATCACTCCGCAGCATGCCACCACCCCACCTGCCGAGTGAGAATTTCTGCTACATTCTAGGGACCCGCAGATACAGTCCTAGACCAGGCCCAGTGAGTGTGTGGGAGAGTTTCCAGCTACCCTGCGCCAGTGGTACTTGCTGGTCCAAGACCAGGTGCAGCGTGGGAGAGACCTTCTTCCACCCACTTGGGAACTCCCTCCACTCAAGAGCACCCACACCACCCTGACGACCCAGTGAGAATTTCTGCGGTGTTCTGGGGACCTCCAGATCCAGTCCTAGCCCAGGCCTGGTGAGTGTGTGAGAGAGCTTTCTCTTCCTGCTACTCCACCTTGTAGCCTCCAGACTCAGCTCAGGCCTGGGATGCAGGTCTCAGGTGAAACACTGCAGCTGTAATCCCTGCAGAGAGAGTAGGGGAGGGAAATACCCAGCTACTCCAGGAGCAGAACAACTTGCCAGAGGGGCACAACAGGTTCAATCTTAAGGGTGGCAGCAGGAAGGAGCTCAGCACAGCAGCCAGACCCAAGCCAGGCACAGCAGGATGAATCCAAACTTTATAGATGTGCACCTGAACTTCAGTAGGTGCTAAGGGTATAACTATACCAAAGCTCTACAAAAAAGGTCAGAAGACAGTGCTGCACAAAATGAAAATGAGAAGGAGCAAAATGCAATCTCAGACCCCAAGCCCACCCATAACAACTGCAGAGGACACTAACACAGAACAAATTGTTAATCACAGCTAAAATCAATGAATCAATGGCTTCTGAAATAAAGAAAAAACTGCAGAAAGGTATAGAGGAACTCAGATTGGAAATAAGAATTTCCTGAATTAATAACATCTGCATTAAAGAATTAAATGCAGAAACATATAGAGGAAACCCAATGCCCACCCAGAAAAAGTGCAGAGGACAATACCTCAACACAAATGTATGAATTAATAGCGTTGATAGTAAATAAGCAAGAGCAGAAAGTTACAAAAGAACTCAGAGCCGAATTATTTTGTGCAATTATTTTTTGCAACAGAATTATCTGAACTCATAGTATCTGAAATAAAGAATCAACTACAGAAACATAGGGAGGAAATGCAATCTGAAAAATACAATGCAGTAAAAGAATTAATAATTGCTTCTAAAGAAACATTGATAAAAAATTGAGGAGATTAGAAAAATGATCGATTCCTTGAATGAGCAATATGGGAAAGAAATAGATCACATGAAGCAGTGTCAAAGAGATATAGATGAATTCAAAATCACAATCACAAGCTTGTGAAACTGTTTAATTGAAAGTGAAGACAGAGTGTCAGATCGTGAGGACACTGGTGCAGCTATTGAAAAGATAAGAAAGGAACTCTTAAAAACAAATAGGATGCAGGAAAAAATAATCGATCACCTGCAAGACAATGCAAAGATGAACCATGTGAGATTATTAGGCATCAATGAAAAAAGGAGTCAATACAAATGACGTTAAAAAATATAGGCAGATTTGGAATCATGTGCAAATACAAGAAGTATATAATTACTTATGCCTATTTTATAATATATTCCAATTTTTAAGTGTTTTTTATCATATTCTGTAGGGACTTAAAGTTCAACATATCAATACT